CTTTAAGTTGAAATTCCGAAATCTTTTGAAAACTTCCCGGAGGTGTTCCACATGGTCCTCCAAATTATTTGAAGCAATGATTACATCGTCTAAATAAATCAATACATGGTCCCACTGAAGACTCTAAGAACAAGTTCCATCGCCCTCTGAAATGTGCCTGGCGCCCCACAAAGGCCAAACGGCATTCGTGTATATTCAAACAACCCGTACCTCGTGGTAAATGCCGTTTTATTTTGATCTTCAGGTGCTACCTCTATTTGAAATGAAATGAAATGGGGTTTAACGTCCTACTGTTCTGCTCCTATACTGGGCTAATGAAGACAGCTACCTCTATTTGGTGGTAAACAGTTGTAAATATATTTGGTCCAAAGTTGTAAATATAGAGGCACCAGCAGGAGTATTTAAACAGTCGGAAATGTTCGACAAGGGGTACCGAATCCTTGGTCGTTACATCGTTGATCTTACGGTAGTCAATACACCACCATCTTTCTTTCGAACCAGGACAACAGGAGATGCCCACTCTGAAGTAGACGGAACCACTCTACCATTATCCACTGTACCAAGTGGGGTTCGACGAGGCGGTTGGCGTATAGGTTTAGCATTACCAGTGTCTATATGATGTGTAATACCAGAAACACATCCTACGTCGCAGTCATTCACAGCAAAAATATCATAGAACTCTGTGACCAGACTCCCTGCTTGATCAGCAGGCAAGCTCTTCGTTGCCTCTTGCAGAATATCTTTGAGGTGTTCTGGAGCCCTACAACTAGACTTGTTAACGAGCGATACATCATCTAAATTAGATTCTCAAGCAACAGTTTCGGCCATTTTCCCTAAAGTGTCCCCTTTGCAATTTTAATGGTCGAATTTGTTGGATTCACCATTCTTATCGGAATTTTATTTGTCATATTGGCCAGGACAGATCCAGTGTGTGCTCCGGATTTCAGAGGGGCTGGGTCAAGGACGCTCACTTTTCCTTCATCAGGATTATCCATTGCTCTAGCAATATGACAATCATTTTGATGACGGTGCTGCCCGGAGACCAGTGTCCCATCTATTAGGATATCACCTTGCCTGGCAAGAATAACTCCGTTGTATTCTTTTAACACATCCATTCCGATCAGTACATCTTCCCGTATCGGCGCGACACAGATCTTACAATCAATAGGAATCTCACCTATGTACATCCGTACCGGAAGATCTAGGAATCCATTCATCTCCTTACCATTTCCAACGTTCATTTATCTGCATATTCCATTGAAAAAACAGTTATGTCAGCCTCAGAGTCCACTACGCCTTGGGTACCAGTTTTGGCAAGTGTAACTGGAACCAGAATCCCTTTATCAGGCTGTGCCGCAATCTTGTATAGCTTTTGGCCAGTTTTAGAAGGGCTTGGACATCGTGACATACGCCTTGGACAATCCCGTTGGAAATAGTTTTTCTCTCTACATGTAAAGCATTCGGGTGTAGTTGGAGATAACTTTGGTTTTTGACCCTCTGTTGGAGTAGTATGTTTCGGAAAATGTGGTCGGCTCGATCGAGTAGATGACAATCCTAGGCCCATAGGATCCGGGTGACCTCTCAATTTTTCTAGCATTGCCCTAATAGCCTTCATATCCTCTTCCAAACAGTGGCCCTTGCCATAGACCGGGGAAGCTGTGGGACTGGCGACATGGGCAACTTGCGAACACCATCATCTGAGGCCCCATCTAATGAGGTATCCATGCACATATCATTCCATGATACCCGTCTAGATTTTCGTGCAACATAAGCATCTCGGCCTAAAGTTGCTCTCCAGTTGTGTAACGATGTCAGGCGCTTCAGCTATAGTCCTCGGGTTACGGTTTAAGGCTTCATAAGCAACTCTGGGGTTTCTGTAACCCTTCAGAAAAGCTTCTGCTGCCAACTCGTCTTGTAGAACGAGATTAACGTCTTTATAAGCCAATGTAACCAGGCATCGCACTTCTTCTGAGAATTCTTCATTTGACTCGTGTTTTTGTCTTAGATCGGCCAGCCGCTACGTGCAGTTGTCGGAGGCTCCTTGCGTTTGAACCGCTTTTCCATGTAAGATATTAGTGGCAAAATCGTGTTGTATCTGTGATGGAAAGGAGGCCTGAAACCTTGCTGCTTGACCTCTAATACATTCGATAAGACGGTCTAATTTTTCTACATCATCCCAGTTATTTCTGATTGCTGCTCGGTTAAATGGCAACATGAAAGAATCCCAATATCTAGAGTGCCATCGAATGTTGGAAGTTTCTGCCTTGGTACATCAGATCTGTAGTTATGGTTGGCAGTAGCCATATGGGTCGGCGGGGCTCTATGAATCTGTGCATCTTCATGTGGTAGCGTCCAATTCTCTTGAGGCGGAAGTGGGTGGTTAGACCTTCAATGTCTGATGGTGTTCAAATCCGGCTGTAAAGGAGGGGCACAGTGCCCTGCTCTTGGCGTAGATGAGATTTGTTGTGTACTTGAGTTTGAATCTCTGTTTAAAGGATTTTGATTCTGGGAAACATGGTTTCATTAAGGGATTGCATTTGCTGTAAAATGGACTGGTGTCCAGATTTGACATCTCCAGCTAGTTTGTCTATACTATCAGCAATTTTCATTAATAGTGGAAGCAATCATTACCCCCATGGTTTCTGGTGTTTGCATATCCCCCTTGGTTGCTGTTGTAGTAGTGACAAGATCGGCATATGATCTTCAGGGGGTTTGTGTACGAACCATCAATATTTGATTCGGCACCTCCTATCCCAGGAGTTGCTACTGTATCGATATTACCCCATGGATTTCCAGTGACCATGTTAGGTTAAAATGAATGTAATTCTTGAGGGTCTAGATGAATTGATAGACTTTCGTGGTCTATCCAACACTCTTTGATTATGTCTAGCTGGAGTCTATGCAACCACTTCCTTGCTAACAACTCTCCAGGGTGAATTCCGTCTTTCAATAGTGTATAATTTATGGTACGACGTCTTTGTGGCCTATTTTTGACCAGGTCAAAATCAAACCTCAATGTGTTGCGTCCTAAGGATCTATTTAAGTCACAAATAATAGAATTTATTTGTGCAGTTTGCTTGGCAATAATTTTGTCAATATTTTTTGGAGTTGGCTCTTTGTAACCCAAATGTTGGTTGTAGGCCACAGCCGAATAGGTAGGAAGTCCGACAAATTTAATACTGTGATTGGAAGAAATAACAAAGTCCCTCAGCTTCTTAAACTCTGGCAGCAACTTTGCTGAAATATCTTCCCCCGCCGAATAACGAAGAACAATGTGCGTATCAGGACGACAGCGTTTATGAGTAATATCACACGTCCCAAGCCAGGAGAAGATAACCATTAACTTGTGATGACGTTCAAATATATGACCCAAATCTTCAATGACAGACTGAGCAGAGGTAGCCATACGGGCAGCTGGGTAGGTTAGAAACTCCAACGGGAAATGGCTATCGGTTAGCTGTTGGTGTAGATAACGTCCCTTACTGTCAGAAATAAGAACAGCTACACGCTCACTAGATGTAGTCGGCTGGCAGAGTGGGTGACGTTCAATAAATTTTAACAACTCGGAAGCACTCATAAATTCTTAGAAATAGAAAACAAAACAAATTAAAACAACAATAGATTATAGAAATGTTTTAAGAACAAATGGGAAAACAAAAATTATTTTGGGTCACTTTAATGAAATAGACTATAGGCTTCTGTTACACACATACAGGGAACAATACACTATTACAAAACAGACTATAACAAAGCAAATTGCTAGGTCCACCGTGTCCTTGAATATCTATCAAAATTTAAATGTATGATCCAATACGACATAGACAATAATACAACATACATATTTCAAAAATATAATAGGAAAGGTCTCACCGGGGTTAAATATGTCAAAGGGAGTGTCGATTCTGAGGCTTCAATCTTTCACAATATTCGACCGAAGTCGGCGATGATAGGGAAGTCACACTGACACGTGGCCTTCAAAAACAAATTCTCGTTGAATTTTAACAACTTCTGACACCAATGTGATGCCGTGCCACAGTTATTCTAGAAGCGCAGGTCTGATTAGTTGGCACCACGAAGATACTAGCTATTCTAGCCAAGACAGCGACGAGTAGAGGAGCAGAAACAACAAGACGTCTGTTCTCGTTGAAATCTTTACTTCTACTCATCAAATTACAGGCAATTAGTTACGGATCGTTAAGAGAATGGGAATTGGAAGTAACCTACGGATTGGTAGTGGAACATGAACTACTGTGACACTACAATACCTCAAACGATGATCAGCAAATTTAAAGTTATGATCATTTTACTTTCGGTTTCTATTGATCTTAGACCGCTGTCGTTATCTCTCAGAATGATTAAGTAATAATTTGTGATAAGGGTGTCGAACAAACCAGCAGATTCTGCATACAGGTATATTCATACTCATACAAGGTCTACGGTGGAAAACCGCGTGTGATTCTAGATCGGAAGGTCACAGAATGTGAATATCAAACGAAAGGTTTGTCCGTTCATCAACCCCAATGTTTCAAGCCATATTTTAATAGGAATATCAGTCAGATAATAGTTCATTTCCGTTCAGTATTTACACAGATATGATGAGATCAAATTATATAGATAGATCTTAGGTGTTCCCAATGTAAAACAAAGTCCACTGTCCAATCTAATTGATGGACCTGTTTTTAATTTGTAACATTTAGGGACTAAAGAAAGACCTGGAATAGGCAGATTTAGCTCTTGCATAATTAAATGTTAAATAATCAATCTGAGTACATATTATCTATCGTGGAATAAGCCGTTTGCGATTTGATAATTTCCGAAAAATGCAAATCATGCACAGTTACTTTAAAGATCATGGATAAAGTATAAATGTCAACCTAAAAAGCGCCTGTGGTTAACCAGATAAAACACCAGTAATTGGCCGAGATCTCGTTACGTTCAAACTGAAATTCATTCTTTTAACGCCAGGGAGATTTACACCACAAACATCACAAAATACCTACCCACATGTAGCAGTTATATCACCCGAACCTAATGCGGGTAATTCATCAAAAGACAACACTGAATTTCCAGTCAGACCATTGTTTGTATTACATGCAGAAATGGCAGCACTGTATCCATTACAATTTTCTGTGTCGATCTGACACTCAACAAGACAACCTGAAATAGTCCAATATTAGTAAATTTATCAATTTTCGACATGAAATAGCACGCGAGTAACCATGGACATGTTCAAGTATTTCCTTTAATTTGACTAACCCAAATGTCCAATGACACACTATGTGTATCGATTGTCGTGTGCTAAGCAGAGTGTGCTTAATCGTTTTGAAATATGTATTATTACGTTGTCATAGGGACGCCGGCCGCTTGGGCATACTCCTGTCACTGGAAAAGGTCTCTATACATACTATTATGACAATATATCAATGGATCTGTCTACGGATTTACTAAAGGGCATTCTCTTACAGACCATTCCCGTCATGGTTATGTTTCGGCGCAGTTCCTCAGCTAACTTAAGCTAGAAACGGGCACCTCGCTAATCATGTTGCGAGTCTATCCCGTCAGCAACACAGTCATTTTTTTAAAATTTTGTTTATTATTTACGTTGGTCTATAAGACAATAATAATATTTTTATTTCGTACTCAAGGTACACACACAAAATACAAAAAATATAAATATTAAAGGAAAATTATGAACAAAACTCAATGAAAAGTGTTGTTTGAAAGAAAGTACATCAAATTAATATCATACAGTGCAAATATATTCAATAATTTCATTCAACTCATTTTTTGATTGTATATCATTTACATTTTCTCTCAGAGTAATCATGTCTTTGATTAAACCGGCATTTTGTTTAAGAGTATCATCATCATTCTGTTGGCATGTCATTCTCTTTAAAATATTGGTAGGATCAGACATTAGGTCGTATTTTGAAAAATTATACTTATTAGCTATAATATTAATGTTATTACAGACATTTGATTGGCTCCCATTTAGGGCATGATAGGCACATATTTTAGAACATTCATTCGGACCTCCGAGTATTCCTACGATAAATTTTACAAACCGCCTATGTAATTGCATGTCGATAGGAAAGTCGTCACAGATGAGATGTAGAAGTGAGTTATGGGTGCGTAGTGGAATTCCCCACAGTCTCCTTATGCACTTTCTCCAGCAGCAGTAAAATTTATCGATGCTCTTTTTTGACATGTCCCATAGTTGACATCCATAAAGAGGCATACAACAGCTCTTAAATAATTTATATTTGGTTAAACAATGGGCATATTTAAATTGACTTAAAGTGACATTTACCCTCGCAGTGAAAGAGTTGATATGGTGATTAAGATTATCCCCCTTTGAGTTAGCGCTAATGAGATTACCTAAGTGAAGTTCTGAGGATGAAACATTTACAAATTTATCATTAAATGGTATAGGCTTAACTTCATCGTTACAAGAGGTGTGATTAAAAACTAAAAGTTTGCTTTTATCAGGATTGAACTTTATATCATATTGCAGAGAAAACTCTGAGGCTATCTCTAGTAAAGAAACAAGACCTTGTCTTGAGGGGGATAATAACGTTATATCATCGGCATAAGACAGGGCACCTACGTAGATATTTCCAATACGACAGCCGATATTACTAGCTTTGAATCTAGTCAGCAGTTCGTCAATATAAATACTAAATAATATCGGTGACAAAATACCACCCTGCTTTACACCATTCGAGAATTGGAAGAATCGAGTAGCATCTTTTTCGGATTTTATTGTATCGTATATTCCTCAATCCATTAGATATCGCGGATAACCAGATTAACACAAAAAAAAATGTGCTTAGTTCTACGGCAAGAAAAGTTTCATTGAACAATTAGAGTATTAAGTAAATAATGACAGACTATTTTAATCAATCTGAATGATAAAATATGCAAATATAAAAAAGTGCGTTTAAACGTTTGGGCCGAATACGTTTTAAAATACAATTCATCAAATTTTGTCAATTCAGACGTACTTTTTCGGTCAAATCAGTTAATAGATGAATACCGCAAACGAAATGATTTATGTTTACGTCAATATTTCGCTCTGAATCTATTAAACCTGGACCCTGTTTCACGAAAACTTAAATCTCCTTAAAATTGTGGATGCGTTTCACAAAACGATTTTAAGCATTTTAGATAAAATCCACTAATATAATATTTCAAGTTAAAATAGTGGCGTTTCGCAAATCTATTTTATGGACAATTTTAACTTAAATTCACGACATTAACAAACATTTTTTTTTTTTTCTTGAAAAATGTTTATTCACAAATTTTTAAATACAATATCATATACAATACATATATGCATTAGACTGTATTCATATTTACATTAATATACAACATTATGAAATTGTTAAAAAGGATTGAAAAGTGCGTATGTACATTTGAAATAAAAACTTGTCGAGATAATCGTCATATAATTTTAAAGATTTATTGGAATAATTTATATTTTCACCCAGCTTTCTCTTTGTCTTCAGTCTGACCAGCCTACTTCGAATATCTTTGTCATCAAACGTCACCCAGTCGTCATGTAAAGCAATAATTATGGTCTGGTGCTCCGTATTGGTCGGAAATTTATTAATAATGCCTAGTACTAGCCTATTTGTAATTCTTGCAAATGGAAATTTTGTTATTGTACGGAGATCATTTTGATCACCTAAACCAAAGAGTTTTAAATTGGGCAGCCCCCCCCCCCCCCACCTCATTTTTCCAAAAAAAAAACCCACTAGAGAGTCCAATTCGAGTAAGTGACTGCATGGAGAAAAATATATTTGTACGCATGCGCTGTGAGGATTTTCTGTCCCCTAGCCCTCCCGGTGGGAACTAGCTTGTCACATGGAATTGACCTGAAATATTTGACTCGACTTGTGGGAGAACGTGAAGAGGGATTATTTAAACCTAGGTCGCAATTTTGTACCATGATCAAGTTGAAGGCTTCTGCCTAAACTCATATGCCGTTGTTTTTAATGGTCTTTTTTTAACAGCAATAATTTAATGGTGTAATCTGCTCTTCGAGACAGGCAAATCGGGGGAGTTACAAGTCCATTGCCATGTATCGACCGCAGCATTAGTTAAACTGGACAGATCCAACTTTCAAAAAATAGGCTGACATTTTACCTAACGAGGGCATTTTGAAAGGATTTGGAGTGGCTTGCCGTTTCAACTCTCCCTCGGATGCAATTAGAATGTTTCCAATGCTGTAAGAATATGCAAAATGCAGTCCCGGTGCATTTACATAACACTTGGCATGCCGTTCAATACTTCGCCACTTCAAATGCATCTCGAAAGTTTTGAACATGGGGGTGATTATTTTGAATGCACTCAGAATACAGTCCGAATTTTTAGAATTCATTTCGTATATCCAGGAATTTAAAATTCAATTTTATTCCGAGCAAGGTTCGTTTGACTACGGTATTACAACGCCAGATTTTTTTTTTATCAAATTAGAATAATATATGCAAAAGAATTTGATAAAAGTCTATCGTTTTCATTTTTTACTACGTATAAGAGTGTGTTGATATTGGTGTCTTGTATAACAATTTATTTGCTGCAATATAGTTAAGCTTTTACATATTATTATGTGAAAGTAATCAAATGAAATAGGTGTTAACGTCCTACTTGTCTGCACCTAATGAAGACGGGTATACGCCATAAAGTGTGCTATGAAGGAAATTTTGCCGGCTAAGCAATTGGATTCCAAATGTCAAGGGTTTTATTAAACGTACATGAGACCTCTGTTTTCCTCTGATCTCAACGATTAGTAGAACCAAGCCAGAAACTTCAGATGAACTTTCTCGGCCAATATATGAAAGTATTTGTATTTTACTATAACCCCAGTGGTGTTCACTTGCCATAAGGTTACATTAGCATTTCGGCGGTAATCGTATTAACGCGACAATTTCATATTTTTAAGTTATATTTTTAAAATGTATTAAAATAAAGCCTCAAAATAGATGGTATCTATAAACAGTTCTACCGTGTTAAAGAATAATCCTATTAATCCCATAATTCACTATTGCCAGTTGAGACATTGGCAAAAATATAATTTTCAACTTTAAATTCAAACGTTTGAAGATAGCTATTCCATGGGGGGAATAGAAAAGCAAGAGAGAAAATTGTGTTATTGTTTCCGGGGTGAATGATTTTTAAGTGTGAGAATGATACCTATGATCGTATAATAGTGAGTTGACAACCTATTGAGCAAAAGACATAGAAATAATTATGTTTTACCTTTCTTACAAAATACGAAATTGTCGCTTTAAATAATACGACACAATTTCTTAACGAGGACTGCTGGTACACATGATACTATGTCCCGTGTACACGTTGAAAGATGGAATTCAGTTGCTGTGCGGCAAAATGTCTTCATTAAGACATTAACCCGGTTGGTGCAGACGTTAATCCCCATCGCATGTTCATTTATTGGAAAAACGATATTTACATAAGAAACTTTATACGTCCCAAATAATATGTATTTGACAATGACTAAAAGTACAATTAAAGATATCCCAACCAGGCGATAATTGAATAAAATAAAAAAAGAAAATTGAATTAAAAATCACATGTATAAATAATTTGCCAGCGTCTGCAAACAGTCTCCCTTAAATGAACACTGTATCCTGTCTTGCAAAGTCAATACATTAAAGTCCATAATTATATGAAGATCGAAAATTCAAAGTTTAAATAAAATCTCCCCCACCCCACCGACCGAATAAAAATAAAAATCGAAATTAATGCAAAAGTATCAGGAACATTAATATGGAACAAACAACTTACAGGCCACGGCTGCTACGAAAACAATTTGTAGAAACATCGTTGCGCAATAAATAGTATTCAACAGAGTATGTTCTTCACTTAAAAAGACTTGCTAGCCGAATAGCCCAGTGCGCCACGAGCCCGATATAGATACGAAAACTTTTTATTGATAAAAAGGTGCATTTAAAGGGAAATTTTGTTTAAAATTATCTTTTCACAGTCCGTCGCCTTTCTAAGAAAGCAAAGTAATATTAAAATGTGTCCGTCTGCTCGCCATACTTCTGCTTAGGAACACAGTTTCGAATTCAAGTGAATGCTTAAAGGAGCTAATATTGGGACCTAGAAATTGACACAAATGGGTCGCAACGCATATAATAATGTAATATGAATGAATATAAACTGATTTACATTGAAATGTTTCCGTTTTTATTGTAATTTCAAATCAGTTATGTTCGACGAAATACGCCAGAAATCTCAATCGAATGGCCATCTCTAACGTCTGGTTATTCCAGTCTACATCGATATTATTTATTTCGCATGCTCTCCAGATAAGAATATGTCGTCACCGTTTGACAGTGGAATATGTCTAGCCTCGTTCTTCCAGTCCCTTACTACAAATGGCGCTAAAACGCATTTCGGTGCACGATTCGTGTATCGATGGTAAAATGTTTATTTAGTCTTAAATACTGGATATCAGAAGCCCATCTTTTCCCGGTAAGATCACAACAGCAATGTTGATTTAAATTGACAAATAGTTTGTGCTTTCAATGTTGAAGACGGTGGATGATATTGAGTTAGAGACTTAGCTACTTTAGGTGAATTTTCTCAATTCTAACCATACACATACAATGTGGCAAAATATGCGTTTAGGAAATGAAATGAAATGGGTCTGCTCCAACTGGGCTAATGGAGACGGGCACTATGGCCTAGTCTTATATCGAATTCTAAGTGTCAATGGATATTTTACGTCCACGCAAATGCGTTCACGGGACCTTGGTTTTTGTTATCCCATCCTGTCCACACTGACAGGGAGAGGGGGGGAGGGACGCCGAAAAATAATTATTAATAAACATCGAATATCAACATCTTGTCGGTGTCAAACCCCTTTTTACTATTTAACCTAACAAGATACACAAAAGGCGTTAACTCCCTCCGCCTAGTACAGTACACAAAAAGTGACGGTAGGACATTTTCTAATGAATTCATGCCAGGACTACATTATATGAAACACAAGACATTATATTTACATATTCTTAAAGGGGTGGCCGCGAGCCTTGCTTAGACCTACTCATTTTATTGCTAAACTGTTGTAATTTGGCGTTTTGTCTGGTTTGGGTTCCTTATTCCACTGCGCATATTGTTACGACTTCATGCAGTTGATATATTTTATAAAACCCTGATACCCAATTGTAATATGTGCATATTTAGAAAGGTGAAAGAAATTTACAAGCAATAGGCTTTATTTTTATGTTATGGCCAAAGAAAACCATGTATATTTGTTAGTCAAAATTTAGGCCGATATATCTTTTAAAATTACACCTTAAAATTGGATATATTGTAAAGTTATATATGCTCACACGCTTGGCATATACCCACCTGTCTTTCCAACGATTTACTTTCTCTTTCAACTTGTTGGGGCTTATTCTACTGCTGAAAGATAGAGCTTTCCCGAAATAGATTTTAATTTACTTCAATCTAGTTGTTTAGCTACTCCTTAACGTGAACAGTATCACATGCTTTGTATTTCTCTTTCAACTTGTTGGGCTTAGTCAACTGCTGAATAAAAGAGTTTTCTCGAAATAGTTTTTATTTCAATCTAGTTGTTTAGCTACTCCTTAACGTGAATAGTATCACATGCTTAATTGTATGAATAGCAATACGGATGACGGCGCGTATTAAAGTCACACATTTGTTACTTTGTGGAAATTTTGGTCTTGTCAGCGTAACCTTGTCATCACTGTTCGGGTCATAATTTATTTTAGAAACATTTTTCTTTTCCAAGTTTGATGATTTTGCATGAAGTGGTCAACACCGTATTGAAATAAGAAGTGATATGTCCATTCATTCGTATAGTTTTTACCTCTACTGTTTGTGTCTTTTCTTTGTAAGCCATGCCGAGGTCGGTTAATATGTCAGATGGCAATATATTGTCAATTATCACCGAGAGTGACAAGTGAAATGAGGTTTAACGTACTGCTATGACTGGGCTAATGAATACGGATATACGCCAAAGAGTATGCAATGAGAAAAGTTTGCCCGGATAGCAGCGCTTGTCCTGTTCTTATATCGGATTACAACTACCAACGGACCTCGGTTTTTCATCCTATCCCAATGATTATACGTCGTTGTCCGTTTCAGGGAACTATGTGTTCACCACCCCGTATTATCCCGACGAAGTTTATCTGCCAAAACCGGGTCCAAACACGGGAACCTAGCCAACATCTTACCCAATGAACCACCACAGTTTCTTCAACCGATTAACATTTATTCACTATTAGAACGACGTAGCTATTGGTCGGCATATGTTCCTTTTTGTGGCGTTTGTTCTCGTACACACAGAGCCGTTATTGTAGATAGTTGCATTCGAAATTGTATTTTTGTTAATGCTATGGGGGAAAGTTTGCCCGGATAGCAACGCTTTGGCTTACTGTTATATCGGATTACAACTACCAATGAACCTCGGTGTTTCGTCCCATCCGAATGACTATACGTTATCCCTTATAAGTTGTAGTTATTGGTTGGCATATATTCCTTGTTGTCATTTATGTTTCCGTACACATAGACCCGTAATGGTAGATAGTTGCATGCCTATTGTGCAAATATAGGACTGGGTGGGATACAATCCATTTTCTATTGACCTTCATTACTTGGCGTCTAATGTGTAGTGTGAATACCGACGTGAATTGCCTGTTTTCAATGTATAAAACCAGTCAGTACAGAACAACAAGTTAAACCTTATTTCATTTTATTTCGTCGCTCTTCGATTAATGTGCACACCCCCTATTGTGGGGCGACTGAAATTTATCCAACCACCAAAACAACTCATTATTCGAAAAGGTGTATTCATATATAAAAGCAACTAATCGTATTAAATGTTGTTTGTAAGCTATGTTCATTTGCGCCTTATTCATTGCTGTTTGTTTATTTGTCTGTTATTTATTATGTATATTAGATCTATATTTGTTACATTTCACAATTCTCCAAGTAAACTGCACTATTATATTTATACAATTTCTGAATATTTTTAATAACTTTTGTCTAATCCAATTGTATCATTAATTATTTTTACTGATGCAATAAAATATGTTTAAACTAAACTAGAGAGAGAGAGAGGGAGAGAGAGAAATGGGGTTTAACGTCCACTCATTTATCAACAATAATCGCGGATACGTTAGATTTTAGGGGCAATCAAACTGTTGCATCTCTTTAAAATTGACCGTACTCTTTATGCAAGTATTGGCAAGACATGCGATACATATTCCATGAAACCACGATTCGTTTGCCGATGTTGATGGAACTTAATGATCAGAAGACATCGAATAGGTTTGATTTTACGCACAATGTGAAATATGTACGAAGTTTGTGGTCCCTCTATTGGACTCTTCAGTGGTCACATTTTTGTCCGATTCAGATAAAACCTTAAAATGTTAAGGATCCGAGGATCTTGGATGAGTTCGGTTTTGAAATAATTGAAAATATCTGTTAAAATTGTAGCCTCGGGTACGCACGGAAGGCCAAGGAGCGCTGACAATGGGTAGGGTTTTGTTCTCTCATAACCTAAATGATTCACAGCAAATCTGAAAAGAATATTCAAACCGTAACGTCTATTGTATAGTTACAAATCGCTACACCAAGATAGACGTATAAAAGGCGTCATCGGTTTTAGTCCCTATCATATATACATGTATAGTATTGCGAAAGGCAACGGGCGGAGTGTTGGAAATAGAACACTTTAAACCTTATTATTCACACAAAACCGGTTTACAAACACATGTATACGACCTTGAACACAAGTACATGTATACGCCATGTTTGTATTTTCCCAAAACAAAATGAACTACTTTTCCAAAAAGCTTCATTACAATTGTATACGTATAGGTCTTAGTAATGATCTATTTACGAAGTAATGCATAGATATATGCATAAATCAACTAACGCTTTGTAAAGGAAATATTTATACAGTTTTTGTTTTCTCTTAATTTACGTTGACAATTTCAACACAATAATGAAATCCTTAAAGCCGTCTAGTTCTTTCATCGATATCCCTTCTCCTTGGTTAGTGAACTTTCATAACTTCGGGTTATTAAATAGCTATGGTTCAGGGAAAAATAAAATGGAATCTCGGAATTTCCGAAATAAAATTAAATCTCTCTCTTATATGTAATTTTGTGAATGAAATGTATAACAAAAAACCCCACGAGAATTAGCACATAGCTACGTGATTTAATTTTTGGACAAGAAAAGTCTGGGATCAACGTTAGACCGGTAACACCCTTTGAAGTGCACATAGAGATCGGCCAGCTAGGCAACATGTCGTTTTATCAAAGGCCAGTGAATATGCTTAGGTGCGAGTCGATTAAAGTTTAAGAAAGAGTCTTTAGACTAGAAAATGCTATGCGAGACCTATTTCAAATGTGCCAAATCACGTAGGTCTATATATAATTCTGAATTATTGAGTAAATATTATGGCCGATTTCTTGTTAATAGCTATATTAGACATTCATATACATATCAATAAAAAAGCTAAAAATGTTGTCTGTAGCTACACGTGTTATTGATATGTTGTTCAGATAGTACAGAAAATACAATGAATCTTATACAAATCGTATGGCCGATTTCTTGTTAATACCTATACAAGACATTCATATATATATACATGTATATCGATATAAAAGCTTACAATGCTGCCTGTAGCTATAAGTTTTATTGATATTTTGTTCAGATAGTGTAGAAAATATAACGAATCTTATATGACAATTTATCACCCAATAACTTATTCTACAGTAGATATCGCTTGATTCACATTTCCAGAATTAATATTTTGTTGTTTTTGTTGTTGTTGATAATGTATAATGTCTAACATAAAGTGAAAGGTTTCGGATCGCATGGTCTTCTTCGAGTCACAAATCGGGTCCGATTGGTGGAGGTATT